GAATAAGAACAGCGAGCGGAGGCCGGGGCCGAATTTTCGGAGCCCACATCCAACTCAAAAGCAATCTGAAATGCTTGATCCATTGAAGAGGTAAGATCATCTTTCATCAAACAACTCCTATGGAGAACTCTAAGAAACAATTAACTTAAGATTCCCCATGAAATCACGTCGGATCATTAGTTCAATATATTTATCAAAGAAGTGAATAATTGTCATGATTATTAGACAAGTTTTACGTTGGTTGTCGATTATCTAACACAACCCTCAACTTTTATCATTCAGGACATGATACATGGCAACGACAGTGTTAAAACTATAGGAGAGAGTTATGGAGCATAGGTTGCACCGTGACACTAACGTTTCACAAAATCAATTTGGATTCATGCCAGGTAGCTCTACTACGGAAGCTATACATTTATTGAGAGGTTTGATGGAGAAGTATAGAGAGAATAAGGAGGATCTACATATGATTTTTATTTATTTAGAGAAAGAATATGATAAGTTCCAAGAGCAGTGCTACGGAGAGTTCTACATAAGAAAGGAGTTAATAATGCTTATATTCAAGTCATTAAGGATATGTATGCAGGAGCTATTACTTGTGTTCAAACACAAGGTGGTTTGACCAAGTATTTTCCTATTTCAGTTGGATTACATCAAGGATCGGACTTAAGCCCATATCATTTTACTTTAGTCATGGATGTTCTCACTAGACATTTACAAGAGGTTGTACCCTGGCGTATGCTTTTTGCTGATGATATTCTTCTTGTTGATAAGACTAGAGAGGGAGTTGATAGTAAACTTGAATTATGGAGGTCAATCTTAAAGTCTAAAGGCTTTTGTTCAATTAGATAAAAAACAGAATATATGGAGTGTAATTTTAGTAATAATAGATCTAGTAGAGGGATTGTGACTTTGGGTGATCAAGTCATTAATAAGAGTATACATTTTAGATATTTTGGGTCTATTATTCAGAGTGATGGTGAAATAGATGGGAATATCATTAGTAGAATTCATGTTGGAATGTTGAACTGGAGGAATGCTTCGTGCTTGTTGTGTGATAGAAAAGTTTCTCTCAAACTTAAGGGAAAATTCTATAAGATGGTAGTGAGACCTGCAATGCTTTATGGTGCAGAATGTTGGCCATTAAAATAGAAACATAATATTAAGTTAAGTGTTGCAGAGATGAGGATGCTCGGGTGGATGAGTGGCTTTACCCTTAGAGACAGGATAGGAAATGAGCATATACGTGAAAGGGTTAGAGTAGCTCCAGTAGAAGATAAGATTAGAGAGAGTCTCCTTGCATGGTTTGGGCACATAAAACGGTGGCCTTTTGATGACCTGGTTAGGAATGTAGATGTATTAGATTTGACTTATGTTAAGAGAGGTACATGTAGGCCTAACAATACTTGATTAGAAGATATTAGAAATGACATTTCTTTATTAGATTTAGATGAGAATATTTTGACTCTTAATATGACATAATGGAAAAAAAAGGATTCACGTAGCCGACCTCACATCGTGGGATAAAGATTTGTTGTTATTGTTTTTGTAGTCAACAATTTGTATAATACTTGGCCTTAAGATAAGCATCTCATTCATTAATTGGCCATGATAAGCACATAAAAGATTCATTTTATTTGTTGTTGTTATTGTTGTTGTTATTATTATTACTATTATTATTATTATTATTATTATTTTGCCTTCATCTTTCTGCACTATCTACACATTCCTGACCAACTATAAAGCTTGAGAACAAGTTAGCATTTAGCAAACATGAACTATCATTCTCTATACATCATTTGCCATTCAAATTTGTGCCACATATTCATAAAATGTTTGGAAAAAAAATAGAGGAAAAAGCTTTCAAGAAAATCATCTAAATAGGTGCCATACTCTCAACCTTTAGTCAAATTGTTTCTGTTAAATCCCAGCATTCCCTTGGCATTTTAGTCCCCCAGCTAGGATGGGGATCCATGGAAGGCTCACCTAGATTGCGCCGATTTCCATCGTCCCTTGGCATTTTGATCCCACAACAAGGATGGGGATCTGTGGGAGGCTCACCTGGATTGCGTCGATCTCCTTCCATATTTAGGTGGCTGATTTAGGAAGGATAATATTAGAACAATTATATATGATTATGTAATTATTTGTTTATTTATTAAGATATATTGTATAGATCTATAAAAAAGAATATGTTGAGCAATAAAATTAAGCATTTTCCCTCTCCAATTCTCTGAACTTAACATGGTATCAAAGCCTAAGGAGATATAACCCGTTTGTTTCACCATCAGCCTTCATTGTTGTTCTCGTTCAGAGACTAAAGAGAAGGAAGCAAAGAGCAAGCAACCTTCATTGCCAGCCTTCTCTTGTTATTTCTACTTCTCTTATAACCAACGTAGCCTTCATTGTTGCTGGCTTAATTAATGTAGCCTTCATCACTATCCTTAGCCACCAAAATATCTAAAGTTAATTCCTCTCAATGCTCTATGTAGGACTCTATGGCGCATCAAGGAAGAGGAGATCTCCAAAATATGTAACTTTCTTATTGCTTAAATGGGAAGAATTACTTGAAGTGATCTCAATTTGTGAAGATCTACTTGAAAGGGAAAGGATAGATGAATCACCTCCATGGGGTAGGACCAAAAGAAGAAGATCACAATTTTTGGGAATGGGATGAAGCGTCTCTCCTTCAAAACTTGTAACAAGAACTTGATCACTACAAAAGCATAGAGACAAAGTGTCCAGAAGATGTTGTTATCCTGAAAAAAATTATTGAGAAAGATAAAGTGTATGATTTTCTTGTAGAATTAAATGCGGAGTTTGATCAGGTAATAGTTCAGATATTTGGCAAAGAGGAAACAAATTCATTAAACGAGATCATTTCTCTCATTCGTACTGACGAAAGCTGATGAGGGATAATGCTATAGCCAAAGGAAGTTGAAGGTTCGGCAATGGTGTTTAACCAAAGAGGCGCCATGGACGTAAAATGATAAGGATTTTTCAAAATCTAAAGACAAAGACTCCCTTTTGGTGTAGTTATTGCAAGAAATCAAGACACATAAAGGAGACATACTGGAAGATATATGGAAAGCCCCCAAGTAAGGAGTGGAATCAAAGAAGTGGAC